CCCAAAATCATGGAAGACGGCTTACGTCCACCCGATCCCTAAAAAAGGCGACCGCTCTGACCCGTCCAACTACCGGCCAATCGCCATCACCTCCTTGTTCTCCAAAACAATGGAGTCCATTATAAACTGCCAGCTCATGAGGTACCTTGAAGATCACCAGCTGATTAGTGACCGCCAATACGGTTTTCGCCGTGGTCGGTCAGCTGGTGATCTTCTGGTCTACCTAACTCACAGATGGGCGGAGGCAGTAGAGTTCAAGGGGGAGGCATTGGCCGTTAGTTTGGACATTGCGAAGGCCTTCGATCGGGTTTGGCACTAAGCGCTTCTTTCGAAGCTCCCTTCCTATGGGCTTCCCGAGAAATTGTGCGATTGGATCACCAGCTTTCTTGCAGATCGGAGCATCAAGGTCGTTGTAGACGGTGCAAGCTCCGATTGCAAGCCTATTAATGCTGGTGTTCCACAGGGCTGTGTGCTATTGCCAACGCTGTTTCTTCTGCATATCAATGACATGTTGCGTACCCGTAACATTCATTGCTATGCAAATGACAGCACTGGTGATGCTCTTTACACCGGCCGAGCCAATATTTCTCGGGAAAACGTCTCCGAGTGCCGGGACAAACTTGTGTTTGAAGTCGAGTCTCTGCTGAACAGAGTCTCGGATTGAAGGCGACTAAATCTAGTCCAGTTTAACCCCCAGAAGACACAAGTTTGCGCGTTAACCGCTAAAAAGAACCCCTTTGTCGTATCCCCTCAGTTTCAAGGCACTCCCCTTGTTGCCTCAGCCAGTATCGGAATCCTCGGCGTCGACACATCGAGTGACGTGCAGTTTCGTGGTCACTTGGAAGGGAAGGCCAAATTGGCCTCTAAAAAGCTTGGCGTGCTCAGCAGAGCGGGACAGTATTTCATGCCGGCACACCGCCTGCAACTTTACAAGGCGCAGGTTCGGCCGCACATGGAATACTGTTCCCATCTCTGGGCTGGGGCTCCCCAGTACCAGCTTCTTCCACTTGACCGCATCCAGCGCAGAGCGAATCGAATCGTCGACGACCGAGTGCTTTCCGATCGGCTCGATTCACTGGCGCTGCGAAGAGATGTTGCATCTCTTTGCGTATTTTATCGCATCTATCACGGGTAGTGCTCTGAGGAATTGTTCGGATTAATCCCAGCCGCCAAATTTCGTGAAGGCACTACACGTCAAACGTCCCGATACCATCCACACCATCTGGATGCTTGGCGGTCCACCACTGTACGTTTCACAAGGAGTTTTTTCCACGTACAACCTCTCTGTGGAATAGTTTACCACCGGCGATTTTTCCGGACCGATACGACCTGGGGACCTTCAAGAAAAGAGCTTACTCCTTTCTAAAGGGCCGGCAACGCACCCGCAATTCTCCTGGTGTTGCGGTTGATCATGGGCGGCGGTAGTCACTTAACATCAGGTGAGCCACATGCTCGTTTGCCCCTTCTTCTATAAAAAAAAACAGCCCTTCACAAGTCCACTGCTGAACATAGGCCTCCCCCAAGTAATGCCACAAAGCACGGTCCTGAGCCACCTGCATCCATCGACTTCCTGCATGTCTTACCAGGTCGTCATTCCATCTAGTGGGGGGTCGCCCTACACTACGCCTACCGGTACGAGGCTGCCACTCGAGAACCTTTCTTCCCCATCGGTTATCGGTTCTTCGAGCTATATGGCCGGCCCATTGCCACTTCAGCTTACTAATCCGTTGGGCTATGTCGGTCACTCTGGTTTTACTGCGGATATCCTCATTTCTGAGTCTATCACGCAGAGAAACTCCGAGCATAGCCCTCTCCATAGCTCGCTGAGCGACCTTGAGCGTCCTCATACGGCCAGCAGTGAAGGACCACGTCTCTGATTCGTAAGTCATCACTGGCAACACGCACTGGTTGTACACTTTAGTTTTCAGAGATTGAGGTATACCTGACGAGAAGATGTGTCGTAATTTCCCGAACGCTGCCCAGCCGAGTTGAATCCGTCGATTGACCTCTCGGTTGAAGTTGGACTTACCTAGTCGGACTATTTATCCCTGGTAAACGTACTCGTCAACAACTTCGAGCATAGTGCTCCCAACAACTACCGGCATAGGTGTGACATGGACATTAAACATGATCTTTGTTTTGTCCATGTTCATCTTAAGACCTATCCGTTGGGAGACACCATTGAGGTCATTGAGCATAGTGATAAGGTTCTCCAGCGATTCTGCCATAAGGACTATATCGTCGGCAAATCGAAGGTGAGTGATGTACTCGCCATTGATGTTAATACCGTATCCTTTCCAGTCCAGTAGCTTGAAAACGTCTTCCAACGCAGCGGTGAAGAGTTTCGGGGATATAACGTCACCCTGTCTTACACCTCTCTGCAGTTGGATAGGTTTAGAACTCTGGTTCTGTACTCGGATAGCCATCGTAGCCCTACTGTACAAACACTTCAGCTCTTCGATATATCGACAGTCAACTTGGCACCGCTGAAGGGACTGTAGCACCGCCCAAATTTCGACGGAATCAAAGGCTTTCTCATAGTCCACATACGCCAGGCAAAGTGGCAGATTGTACTCTTCGGTCTTCTGTACAATCTGCCGCAGGGTATGTATGTGGTCTATGGTACTGAAGCCTTTTCGGAAACCGGCTTGTTCGGGACTGGAAGTCGTCGAGTCTGCGTGCGAGACGATTCGTAATGACTCTCAAAAACAGCACGTAGACGCGGCTCAGAAGGGAAATCGGTCTGTAGTTCTTCAAGAGAGCGTTGTCGCCTTTCTTAAAGAACAAGACCACCGCACTTCTGCTCCACGCCTCCGGAGTAGTGCCAGCATGGAGGACGGAATTGAAGAGCTTCTGAAGGACTTCAAGTACCGGTGTTCCACCCGCTTTCAGAAGCTCCGCTGTAATTCCATCCTCGCCTGGGACCCTGCCGTTTTTAAGGTGCTGGAGAGCCATTCTAATCTCGCTCAGACTGACGTCCGGGATATCATCGGAATAGTATCGGGTAAGACTTGCTCTTGGATCGTTACTCACACTTGCGTGTGGCTCCAACGATGATGTGTACAGCTGCCCATAGAACCTCTCAATCTCACTCAAAATCTCAGGTGTCCCGGAAACGATGCTGCCACACTCAGTCTTCAGCTTTGACAGTTGGCTCTTTCTGACAGACAGATCTCTTGCAAAGACTTTGGAGCCCTGGTTCCGCTCGATCGCTTCTTTAATACGAGCAGTATTAAAGTTACGTAAGTCTTGCCGCACGCATTTGGAGATCTGTCTGTTCAGTTGCCTGTATGCTGTCAAATCTGTTGACGATTGCAGTCTCATCTCCCGTCTAACAGCTTTGAGATTAAGAGTGTGATCGGAGAGTTTTTGTGTTCTTCTGCGGCGGGTCTTGCAGAACTTAGCTCCGACCGCATGGACAGTTTCCATGAGCTTGTCATTCAAATCGTCCACTGCATTGTAATCTTCTAGTCACTGAAAGCGGTTACGTAACTCGAGCGAGAAAAGTCTCGGGATTCTGGATTAGAGCACAAGGCGAACGGAGCGTTGACTTTATTAGACGAGACCTCTTCAACTTAACGTTTAGGTTCAGTGTGCTTCTAACCATTCGGTGATCGCTGCCGGTTTTCACCCTTGCGATCACTGAGACATCACTGAACAGTTGGCGTCTGGTCGTCATAATGAAGTCAATCTCATTTTTTGTCGAACCGTCGGGGCTTGACCAGGTCCACTTCCTGTGGGGCCGCTTCTGGAAGAAAGAGTTCATCATAAAGAGTCTCTCTTTCTCCATAAAGTCAGCCAGCTGCTGGCCCCTACGGTTCCGTTGCTCTACTCCAAATTTCCCTAACTTCAGCTCACCGCCTTCTCTTGTGCCTAGTTTTGCGTTGAAGTCTCCCATCAACACCGTATAGTGGGTTTTGGAGGAATGCATGGCTCTAGAAATATCCTCATACATTTCCTCCACCTCCTCATCGGGATGTGCCGAGGTTGGTGCGTAGCCCTGTATGACCTTCAGCGAATACCGTTTGGTGATTCTGAGTATCAGGTATGCGACACTCGTCAACACACTCCCAATCTTTACAACGTTGTTGACGAGAGACTTGTGGACGATAAATCCGACACCTCCTTGGAACAGATGGTCGCCCTCCCGGTGATAGAACAAGTAGCCGGACTCGAGGATTACCGTGTCCTCCCCCTCTCTTCGGACCTCATATAATCCAATAATATGCCAGCGCAACTTGTCTACCTCTTCTTGCAGCTCCAGTATCTTCTCGTCAGTCCTCAGGGTGCGTGCGTTATACGTTGCCAGTCGAGTTCTAGTGGCAACCGAACCTCCACCGGAGATTCTTAGCACCCCCTGCCCCGCCGTTACCATGGTCGCCACCGTAGCCGGGAATAGCGGAGCCGCCGGGGACTGGGGGCCGTTCATTTGCGTCGTTGCTCATGGGGGATATTTGCCATAGTTGCCACGCTTGGCGAGCGGGTTAGCAACCACAGTTTTTTATTATGTTATTGTTGCTATTAGGAAGATGCTGCTGCCCATCTCCTTTCTGTGTCTCTCTGTCGCCTCTTACGACACCCACGGGAAGATATGGGGTAGTGGATATTCTCAACCGCCACTACACGGCTTACCGCCACTACTGTCACTATGGAGGCTCATAATAAAAAGTGGTTGAGCTATTTTCATACTTCTTAGTTTATTGGGTTTGTTTTTTCTTTGTTTTGTTGTTCTTTTTTCTTTATGAGTTAGTATATCAACTTGATTGCTTAAATGATTCTCTACCACGGCAGTGGTAACTGTCCGTATATATCTGGTTTTTTCATCTAAAATTTCTTGTAATGTATTTGTCTTCTTCTTTTTGGTATTTTTCTATTTTATACTACCAATTTTCTTTATTCATTTCTTCCGTATGTAAATTAGCCTTAACCCAGTTCACTAAATCAAAATCTAAATTATTTTCACTGTTTTCAATTATATCGACATCACTCCGGGGGTTTATTCAATCACTCATAGAGTAAGTGCTTGAACGCCTTTTAAATTTTATGCCTGATTCCTTCTTAGTTTTGAGTTTTCTTTTTGAAATATACGTTTTTGGCTTTTGAGTTTTTTTCACATCTTTTTCCTTTTCTTTATTTTGTTTTAAAAGAGTGAATACTTCTGCTCCTTTAGCCACTCGTTTCTTTTTTGTTGTATTATCATTTTTATCTTGCCGGATCCTTTCTAAGACGAGTTCTTCAAAACTGATTTTATTATGATATTCATCTTTCTGAGTTCTCAAGCATTGTGGTAATTCTGATTTTTGGTTTGCCACAAATGGTAAAAACTCGCTATCTTTCTTTGAAACCTGGCTCAATAATTTTACATTAGTTGATTTAAGACTGGTTTCATCAGTAATTGGAGTACACTTATTTTCAGAAGTAGAGTAGCTGATAGTTAATTTATTATTCAAAATATCAATGCACATTAACCTTAGTGACTTTGGTACTGCATAGTTTAGCTGGGTTTGTGGACTTTTTTATATTCAATAATTTTTTTTCAAAGCTGCTGGATCATACTTATCTTGCGGAACTACATTTGGGTTAAATGGATAAATTCCAGACTTTTTGAACCCATTTTGAATAACTTCAGTATCTGTCTGTTGCCATGTCTCAGCAAAAGTTTGCGAAAATACATCTTTTGGCATTTTTTTCCAACATTATGGCGTTGCTACTCAACTAACTTTTTGTCCCATTTTGATTTGAATGATTTAAATACAGCAACATCAAGTAGCTGTAGCAAATGCGATGTATGAAGCGGGAGTTTCAAGATAGTTATATCATTTTATACAGCCAGTTCCACTACATCAGTATCGACATGAGTAGAATGGCCGTCGTAAATTAATAGAACTGGCCGTTCCGTACCAAGGGATGGAATTAAGATTTTATCTATATAATTATAAAATATAGGTGACTCCATCCAGCCTCTAGAACTGACTTCATAAGATAACTCAAAATCAAAGTCATCGGATTTGGCCATCCATTGGTCCCACATTTGTTTCTCTTTAAAAATTATTAAAGGTGAATTTTTTTCCAGCAGCATTTACGGTCGCTAAGACCGTAATATTTTCTTTTCCCGTCCCATATGTTTTTCTCGAACAAGGTTTATTAATTTTTTCGACAACTTTGGTTTTTGTCGGATCTAGGGATAGAAAAGTCTCGTCCAAATTCCAAATAAATTCAGGTTTTTCTAACAGATTCAAATTAGCCAGCGTCTCTTCAAGCAGTGCGAAGAATTCAGAAACAACAAATGGATCTGTTATTTTCCTCCTTATATGTTCCACTGGTTGCGGTTTTTTAATCAAAAGCCCATGTCTTTTTTTTAAATTTATAAACCAGTCTGGTCCGGGTTTGTTATTGGTAAAAAAGGTTTTCAAGTTATGTTTTTAATGTACTCAGCAACTATGTCTAATATCTCTTGCCTCGTCAGACCAAATTCCCACTTTTCCATTGTTGCGATAGCATTTGCCAGTCGTTGTTCGACTAAAAATGGTATAGCTTGTGGTCTGCCCACCTTTTCTCTGCCATATTTACCTTTCATCTTATCAAATAGCGTCGTTGTTGGGATGTTAAATATTTTGGCGGCAGCTTACATACTCATCTCAATGGATATCACTTCACTGCTTGAATCGCTTTATCCATATCATCCTGAGCATAATGCGCAACTTTTTTTTAATGTATTTACGAGGCATTTTTTCCTGTAACAATTTATAGAAATTATATAATTATAAGTCAATTTTATTATGAAAAAAGTCCCCAAACACACAAAAACGATTATAGTTTAACTACAATACATTGTTATCTTGTAATTTTATATGATAAGAACAAAAATAGAATAAAAGTCGGTTTATACATTTGGCATAGCGATAGGTACGTCTTGTCCACTCCCGTTGGTTAAATTCTCGAAGGTGTAAAACTTATCCAAAACAACAATTTATGCTGACGAAAGATTGACAGCCACTGGAAATTACTATGGAAGAGTAGTTCGATAGTCCATTAATTCGTAATTAACCCTGTGGGGATATCCGAAAAAAATACAAAAACAATAGCTGGCTAATCCTAATCTATAAAGTAAAGCTTAAAAAACGATTTTCTATCATAAAATCAAACAATCATTAAGATTACTTATCAATTTCCCAAGATAATGAACGCGGGGTAATTCTGAAAAACCGAAAAGTGTTGGAAAAAGCTGTTTTCACGGAAAAGTTAATTTTGCACGCGCGCTATTGACACTATAGTTCATAAAAGATAGCTTGATCTCTGCGACAGCTGTCAGTAAAATGAACGCCTATGAAGTCCTGAATTTCTTAGTAGTACAGACCTGTCAATATCATACTTTATGGGCATGCCGACCTATAATGACATAAACGCGCGGAACTAGTTGGCCGCGCCTTAGGTGGCGACAGGGGTGAGGAGGCGGATTGCCTACTGCTCGCAACGCACATGAGATTATCGTGAACAATAATTGTTCAATTATAAAAAAGAATAAATAAAAAACAATTGAACTTTTAGAAGTTTATATTGCACCAATCTAATTATATTGTAGTTAATAGTAAAATAAACCAAAAATAAATTAAGTATATGGCATTATTCTGACATATCCTCTGAATCACTTAATTCTGAACTTTCTGAACTTCATTCAGAATCATCTTGGAAGTTTATAATGATTTCGTTCACCATAGTATCAAATCTCATATTATGATTCCAGTATTCTTGTTCGTTTTTTTGTACGTGGTCATCGCATTTTTGCTATTGTTCGGCAGAGAATTCGGAAAATAGCCTTGTTAGTATTGTAATTTTCTTGTCCAATGTAGCATTAATGTGGTCTCTGGCCAGGCAGTTTTTAATATTTGCCCACACAAGCTCGATCGGGTTGAGGTCTGGATAATATGGAGGTAAATATGACCTGAAGCTTTCAGAAGTTCATCAACAGTGTATATTTTTTCTGATTGGGTTGTATTAATCAACCTCAAAAGTTCGGCTTTGATCATCGTGGGAGAAAATGGCACGTTATGATTTTGCAACCAGTTCTGCATATTAATTTTCAAACTGGACATAGTCGGTTTCTTCTCAACTTGCACACAATGACAGGCAGCATTATCCATAACTATGACTGAGTTAGGTGGAAGTTTAGGTATTAATTTTCGATCAACCCAGTTGTAAAAATTTGTAAGATCTCATGTCTCCATGATAATCCCCCGTTTTTGAATCTGATTTAAAAATTAGCAAAGCGTCGTCAACTAACCCGTTCCGGTTACCAGCGTGAACTATTACTAAACGCCTTCCTTTGCCTATAGATGTATAAATTCCAGGCTCCAACGAAGATTGCTAACATTTTTGGACATTGTGAGTTTGGTTAACGTAAGTTTCGTCCAAAAAGAATATATTTCGTTTGTCTTCTCTGAATTTTCTTATGGCCCTCAAATATTTCACTCGCCATTAAACTATGGTTGGTCTCTCTATTAAAAGGGATCTCTTCGATTTACATTTTTTAAATGAATATCCCAGTTTGTGCAAAAGTTCTCTTAAAAAGTTAATCCGCAATGTAAAATATTATCCTCTTTTAACACAGCATTTAGTTTTCGTAGACTTGGAATTTTTTTCTTTACCGTATAAAACTGATTTATTTTTCTTCTTATTACTCCTAAACCAAAATCATCAACTTGTATTTTCTTTTTTATTTCTTTTGGTCTCCGCGGAGAACTAAATTTTGCTTCCCCTGTATTTTGCAAGGAAGTTTTACTTTCAGCAATCACTCTCCTTACACTTCGTTCTGATATCCCTGTTGCTTCTGCTACTAATTTATGTATATTCGCATCAGTTGTACATTCTAAACTATTAACATCGGCTTTCCGTTTTTTTTTAAAACGTATGCACTTTAAATATCATTTCCTTAGATTGTCTTTTTATCGGCGGACTCATCTCGCTATTGCAATCCCATGTGCGTTTTGTCTAAACTAGCCGGAACGTTCAACGCGTGTTGCCGTTGTGAAGTACGGCGCCGCATTGAGCACTGAGAGACTTATGACAGCAAGCGCCCCCGCCTCTCCGTCCCATCGCTCACATACCTAAGACGCGGCCAACTAGTTCCGCGCGCACTTATAATTAGTGCACGCCCATAAAGTATGACATTGACAGGTACTGTCTGTACTACTAAGAAATTCAGGACTTCATAGGCGTGATTTTACTGACAGCTGTCGCAGAGATCAAGCTATCTTTTATGAACTATAGCCACACGACACGACTGAAGCGAGGGAGACAAGTAAGATGGCGTCTAGTATAATGTTACCACTACAAAAATATTGCTTAGTTAAGTCGTAATTTGTAAATTTCGGAATTCCGCCACTTTCGTAATAACCCCAAAGTATGATACAGCACAGAGGCATTGTTTTCTTTACATGCGTATATTAGAAACCGAAAAATTTATAATTAAATCCCAATTTTTAAATGATGATGACACTGTGTGACCATCTGCGTAACAAATAAGTTCACCTCAGTCCCAACGAACGACATCTGGTGAGTTTAAAATTATTAGCCCTTATTATGTCATAAGGCAAGCGACGATATCATCATCATCAATTACAGCCCTTCACAAGTCTACTCCTAAACATCGCCTATGTTCAGGAGTTGACTTGTGAAGGAATGCTACAAAGCACGCTCCTGATCCACCTGCATTCATTGACTTCCTACATGTCTCACCAGGTACGAGTTTGCCACCCGAAAACCTTACTTTTCCATCGGTTGCCGGCCCATTGCCACTTCAGTTTACTAGCCCGTTGGGCTCTCGGCACAGAATAAATAATAGTACTACGTACAGAAGTTGCACTCCTTTGATGTCAACTGCTTGTCGACGTTTAATAGCCTACATAATTATTATGAATCAGAGAAATCGCGAACGCAAGCTAAATAAAACTTTATCGCTGCACGTCAGTGTCCATATTACTTTGCATCTTTTCCGCTACCTAAGTTACGGCGGACTTTCCGTGGTTATTAAGGGATGTCAATAGAAAATAAAAAAATACATTGCGAAATGTTAATTATGTTACTTAGGTGAAGTACCTATTCTGACTATGATCGACTGACCATACTTTCGCCCTTATGTGAGTTCTGCGATACCTAACGCATGCAAATTGCAAGGTCATTCGTCGGGAATCGCAACGCTTGGTTCGGAAGAAATACGTAGATAGTGTAAACTACAAATAAACATGAAATACGATTCCTAACAGAAATGTGATCTATTCTACTTACTTAAAAATCTTCTTAGTATACAAAGTTTTAATTTCAGTATTTTGTGTTATTATAAGTTAAAATATTTTAATTACAAAATACAAGTATAGGTATGTATGTAAGTAAATACTTGGATAGTGAAGTAAATTTTAACTAATTTTTTGTAATAAAGTACTTAGGTATTTCTTCTGTAGACCAAATTATTACTTAATTCTTTTTTGCTGTAAGTACCTATCTAACAAAAAAATTAAATAAATTCACCTTTTATAATTTCCTTCTAAAATTCTTCGGTAACTTAAAGAATGATATGAAACCTTTTGTTGGTCGTTTCATTTAGTATCCATCCACGCAACAGTTATAGTAGGAACGACGTTTTGCTATTATAATTTATCAAATACATAATATATAACTTTTAAAATACATTAAAACTTTTACAATTTTTACCTACAATTAAATATACTAAACAATAAACAAAAACTATTTCAACAAGTATTTACATAAAACTGTTTAGGTACGTAAAACTTTAACATTCAATCGTCTCCAATGCGCTAGCCCTGACTGCGTTATTTCGCCCGGGCGCGCCGATTAGGTAATTATTTCATGCAGGTAGCAAGAGTAAACGAGGCCTGCTCTCGGTTACTCTGGTTCTATTGCGGATATCCTAATTTCTAAGTTTATCACGCAGAAAAACCTTGAGCATAGCCCTCTCCATAGCTTCCTGACCAACCTTCTCAGATCCATAAGTCATCACTGGCGACACGCACTGATGGTACAAGCTTGTTTTCAAGTTTTGAGGTATACTTGACGAGAATATGTGTCGTAATCTTCCGAATGCTGCCCAGCCGAGTTGAGTCCGCCGATTGACTTACCTATTGGAATTCTATTTGTCTCAGGTAAATATACTCGTTAATAACTTTCAGCTTAATGCTCTTAACTACCGGCATCGGTGTGACATTGTTCATTAGCTTGCAAACGAAAAACGAACTCTACAAACGCAAGACAAAGTGGATTGTACTCCTCAGTCGTCTGTACAATCTGCCGAAAGGTATGTATGAGGTCTGTAGTTCTAAAACTTTTTCGGAAATCAGCTTTTACGGGAAGCTGAAAGTCGTCGAGTCTGCATCTAAGACGATTCGTAAAGACTTTCGAAAAGGGCACATAGACGCGGTTCAGTTGGGAAATCGGTCTGTAGTTCTTCAAAAGAGCGTTGCCGCCTTTATTGAAGAACAAGGCCACCGCACTTCTGCTTCTCACCTACGGAGTACTGCCACCATGGATGACGGACTTAAAGAGCTTCTGAAGGACTTCAAGTACTGGTTTTCCACCCACTTCCAGAAACTCCGTGGTAGTTCCATCCACGCCCGAGGCCTTGCAATTTCTAAGGCCCTGGATATATATTCTAATCTCGCTTAGATTGACGTCCAGGACATTATTGGAATAGTGTCGGATGATGTAGCAACGATGGGTGTGAGTTTCATTCATTTTACCCGATGGAAATCTGTTTAGAAAAAAAAAAAAGAAAAAAGAAAAAATTTTATAGTAAAACACTGTTCTTAACTTAGAAAAATCCAAAAATTAACACAACAATACTTAACGACATCACCACGAAAATGGCGTACGTAATGAACGTGGATTATAAATGAATATCAATAGAGTTACTGACTTTATTGCACTAGAGGATAGAAAATTTCGTATTGATGCCGCCCGGAACAATACGGAATTATACAAACGGTCGCATTAAATTTCGATGAATACCGAAGGCCTCATCGGCTACAATCACATATGGCATTTTGGGTCCGTCAAACACCAGTTCTTCTTCTTCCGGCAAATCACGAGCTCCTTCATACAGCTTTTGACCTAGAATTGAAGATTGAAAAATAGTAGAATCATTTTCACGGCCATAAGAACCTACATCAATAATAGTTAACAAATAAAATTTGAATCCACCAAAGCCAATAAAACGATTGAGTTGTACTTTTTATAATAAAAGTATAGAGAGCCGGAATTTCGGGGGCACTGAATTCGAATGTATTTGCCGTCTAGCGCTCCCAACAATGTGGGTAATTTGCATTCTCTTTAAATCCCTCTGAGATTCTTGTCCATGATTCTTTGTTTGGGGTTGCCATTTCTGTACATGCTAGCACTTTCCATATGATTCCACATGTTTCTTTTATTACTTTAGCTAACGTTTTTTTTTCCGATATTTTGTACTTATTCTGAAGGCGTTTATAACTTGTTCCAGTAGCGAGATATCTGAAAAATGACTTAATTATTTTAAAAATATACTTTTATCATATTCTACTTTTTGAAATCGGTTAAAAAACGAAGACCCCACCAAAGCGTTAGGTTTTTATTAATCTGTGTTTTTTTATTAATATACATAATAATATATACATAATTACATACATATTATATATACGTTACATAAAATACATATAAAATGCATAAATTTAATATAGGTATTACTACAAGTACTGTGAATATATGTTACACACATATATATGTGTGTGTAATCTGTATTATTTTTAAGAAAAACAAATAATGAATTTTGGTTCACTTGTGTCTAGCCAGATTGTAAAAGTACTTCAGTGATATTCTAAATAAATAAAATTTAATGTAATAATTCTTTATTTCAGGACTTGAGTTAATGACAAAATGGAAATCTTTAAGGGATCAATTTCGTAAGGAGTTAAAGTTGCAACAATGTTCAAAATCCGGTCAAGCTGCCTCAAAACGACGAAAGTATATCCATTATGATGCATTACTTTTTTTTAAAGAAACACACAGAACACGGTTTAACATCGTCAAACATGCTCAACGAGGACAGTCAAGAAGTTTTTGAGGATGACGACAGTTCGGTTAATACCACCCCCAGTGTTACCGAACCATTCACGTCTAGTAAAAAGAAAACATTAGTCCAAATGTTTCTGGAATCGAATAAAGAGATATCGAATGTTATGCGCGAGAGCATAGATATACAAAGAAATAATGTTCAACGACAGTATAATGACGAGCGTGGAAATGAGGCATTTTTCCGTTCGATGCTACCACTTATGGACAAAATAAAAGAAGATTATTTAATTGACGTCAAAACTGAGATTATGTCTGTGATTAAGAAATACATATCACCATCACATACATTGGAAGAATCATATCCTCGTGCATCCACACCAACAAGCGATGACGATATTGTTCAAATGTTAGAACACTTTCATGGAATATAAACTTTATGATTTATATAACTGATGTAAGCGTTTAATACAAATAAAACTGCTTAAAACTTACTGTAGTGTTACTGCTAATCTTTCACATGGCCCGATACTTTTCCTCATATTAGTATCTTGCTTTGATAAGTTTCTTGACAGTAAACTTAACAGTTCATCGAAAACAGGAATTGGCAATAAATATTCATCTTCAAACCAATCTGGATGATGTCGATATTCTTCATAATTCACATGGAAATGTCCATGACTTTTACGACGTAGTAGCATAGGATGTGTCCACCAACGGCGTTTTTTTTCCTTTCTTAATAACAATAACTGCATATTCACAAGCGTACTTGCATAAGCACCCCATAACACTACATTCATAATAAAGAATTATTTTATTGACTGAGACACTACTTATTTCGGTTTCGTCTGGCACCTAACAGAACTCTTTCAACAAATAAAAGCACAACGCAAAATCGGCGATTCCGTTACGAGTCGTCGCGGACACGCTGCGATTCCGTCACGAGTCGTGACGATACGCTGGCGGAATAATCGCTCGTTCGTGATTACCCGACGATAGAAGCGCGGACTCGTCGCGATTCTCGCTCGTGGAGACAGCGCCATAGACTTAGAATATACTGGCGTATAAGTCCATGATATTTTAATATATCTATCCCGTTTTAATGCAATACTGGCAACCTCCACATTTGACTTCTACCGTAATTTCCAATCCGTCTGCCAAATATGTCAATAACTATGGCTATTCTCTATAATGATAGAAAACATAGAATACTATAATAAACAATAAAATGGCCGTCAATCTTATTTCATACGAGGATTTGTGTCACCGGGAGCGCTCATACAAGCAATTACGTCGTGTTATCACTACTACAAACCCAATTCGCTGTATTGACAGACTGAGCGAATTTACACATTTTTGACTTTTGATTAATATTTCTGACACATCAATATTTCTTTATTTTTGTTTCTTATATTCTCCAGGATATGTCTCCTTAATTTAAATTCCATTTACCGCTGTTCTTTCGACACATAATTATTGCACAATTTGCCATTTTTTAATAATTTGCATGTAGCGACTCTTGACACGAAAATTGGAAACGATGGATTGTGCTGACACTTATAGGTGTGAATTGACATGTTAGTGACATGTTCGTGGCTGCACGGGTACCGCACACTACCCCGTTCTATTACTCGTATGTATGTATTATAATATTCTATGATAGAAATTCAGGCCTATGCGTAAAAATTACACTGTCAAAACTCTCCACAACAGCGCTGGAGTAGCTACTCCTGTAGCAACATAAAATGAACTTAGCAGTTGTCGACGGTTTGAAGTGTGCTACTAAACTGCTCAGTAGCTCTAAAATCTAATATAATTTTATTTAGTAAATATAACCTCAAAAAAGTCGTCTATCCCACTAATATTTTTCGGCACGTTCTTTAAAATTTAGCCCATAGCTATAGTGGCGCCACCCTTTTTTAACTGTTTTCTATGGAAACTTTTTAATACACAGTCTGCACTGCTTATTTCTACACTCCATACATTACGTAGACAGAGAAACCTATAGACAAATTGACGCCTTCTTTCGCATTCGCACACGAAAAAGATAGATTTATGCATACGTTTTGCATAGAAATGAGGCAGAGTGGTGTGATTGTTTGTCCCTTTCTCCGTGCCGGTTTTTTTATTTAGCAAACTACACTCTGCTAAACGACTTTGACAGTTCGTAGCGATCTAACGTAGACAGAGAAACCTATAGACTAATGATCGGCGTGGCCTCGAGTGAGAAAGGACGATAACGAATTTTTAGGTTATACAATAATCTTTATGACTTTTAAACACATTTAGATAAAAAAATTTAATTGTTATAAGAACTGAACTGAACAAGATTCACCAATCTTAGGCTCACAAAACACTTTTTTCTCACTTAAACCAACTTGTAAACTCCTTAAATCGCTACGCTTCAAGGAGCAAACTCTACAGTTGTTTTAGTAAAAAAACCGGCACGGTAAAGGGAAAACAATCAACGCTCCCATAGGTTTCTCTTCTACGCGATCTAAGGAGTTTACAAGTTGGTAAGTAGAAAAAAGTGTTTCGTAGCTTAAGATTGGTGAATCTTGTTCAGTTCAGTTCTTAGAACAATTAAAAAATTTATCTAAATATGTAAAAGTCATAAAGATTATTGTATAACCTAAAGCTACGTTATCGTCCTTTCTCACTCGAGGCCACGCTAATCATTAGTCTATAGGTTTCTCTGTCTACGATAAGTACATTAACTGTTGACTGTGCTAGTATTTTTTTTTTATTAATTGACTACGGCTCTGGTTTCTAGACATTATGAGCCTATCCTTTCTTTTGGAATCTTCATTTTATATTGGACCGAAAATAATGAGCTGATGCGTCACATTGCGAAGCCCTTGGGAGATTTTCACGACAGCTCAACCTAGCGGACAGTTGATGACGACAGCCACTCAAGTTCATAAGGCGCCCAAGGGACCAAAATAACTTGAGGTTTATATCGACATCAAAGCACTTGTTTCGTCGTTTTCTCTAATAGTTTACACGCGCGGACACTTAATTCACAAAATCGCATCACTTTTACGAATCAAAAAAATCACTTCAAACCTTTGTTCTAGCGACAGAACAGGAGCGACAATCCGTCTACGGCCAAGTTCCCGCCAAAAACCCGCGCTAGTATTTCTTATAAGTGCGTACCGTGGAGGTTAGAGAACAGGAGAACGATCGCTACGTGCTAAAGCATAGCCCACCTGTCTCTGAAAATTTGAAGAATTTATAGCCGCGCTGCCGTCGGCAAGTAGTGTCTGCGAAGTAATTTTTTAATTTTTGACAGAAAGAAACATTAAAAAATGGTGAAATATTATAAAATAAAATAATAATAATAATAAATAATTTATATTTGTAATAATTTATAATATTTATAAAAATTAAAATTATAAAAAAACATAATTTATAATTTATTTATTAATAAATTATGATAATAATAATAAAAAGGCATAGGGAATTGATGACGCCATCGCCCGCTGACGTAACGGTTATGTGACAAAACCGCCGCGTCAGAGCAGTCAGTCAGCACCTTGCCAAGATGTGTTAGTGTCGTGCCTCGGCAAAAATTGAAGGTGCAAAGGCCCGCTTGTGCACATGGTCTCACCATCAAACGGTGCCGGGTCTGGGCGTCTCTCGTTAAATGACGCCGTTAACCTTTTGAGCGCCACGCCAAAAACTCACTACCGTGTCCTGTACGCCAAAGCGAAAAGTAAACAAAAATACCTACGAAAAAAACAGTGCTGCCAAGAGTTGATATATCGATAACACAAAATAACTTGTTTTTGTTGGTTTTTCATACAATAAATGACTCTTTATAATCGGGTATGTTTTATTTAATCTTGTGCTGTCTTCCACTCTTTTTATATATGTACTTTGTACATAAATAAAAAAGAAACAATAACAATAAAATAGTAGTAAACCACAACACTACTCTCCATCGTGATGACGTCACTGTCACGACTGGACGACAACGGCGTAGCTGACCTTTCTTTTTGAAACTTTCTTAGAGATGTAGCCGTGTCGCACGTTGTGTATCGATTTCAAAATCGATCTAACCAAAATATACAGACATCGATTCTAAATATTTTATGGCGAGGCGTAGGCCAAGTGAATCACAGAAGAAAAGTCTTACGCTCTTATGACAATGGGGGTTTCATATGATGCTGATGTTGCTAAATGATTTTGGATTGAGAAAGAAAATCGCACAACACAAAATGAAAAATTGCTCTTCATACCTTAAGTAAAGGAAACACATTTATTATTTGTAATTATATATTATTAAAATAAAAAAGGTACATAATTATTCACTAATCAACAATTGTAAATAATAGTCTAGTCTTAAAATATTAAAATCTTGGTCTTTAACTCAATCAGTACTTAATAGAGAAAACAACAATTAAAAATAATTAATAAATTATAGGGAATATTAAATAGTCTTAAAATAATAAAAATCTTATGGAATAATAAAACAAATGTTTAGCTGTCCAAAGCAAATTTTCTAACGTGGTAGAGCCATGCTGCAGTTATATTACGAGAGAGTAGTTGTAGCACGAATGGGTCGGCTCAACCGGGGAAGAACCACGCTCTCACGGAATACCGCCGTCAAATAGTAGCTTAATGCTGCTGTATTTCGTATGGCAAGTGTAGAGAACCGGAGACCCTCTTTACTGGAAACGAGGCATTCCATCTAAGTCCTCACGGGCGCATCTGCATTTTGATTCGTAATCGAGGATGGATGTAAATGTCTATGGGCCACAGTAACCACTTACCATCAGGTGGACTGCGTGCTCGTTTATTACCCTATGCTATAAAAAAGAAATTAACCGTAAAAAACTATAAAGTGTATTCCTACCTCATTGAGATAGAGTTAATCGAAAATGAAAAACTTTGTTTTCATGATAATTTTAATTGCCGATTATGAAACGCCGCTACATTAAGTATCAAATTATTAAAATAATAGAAAACAACTCATAAAATCGCTAAGCAGGTACGGATTGTATAATACATATTTTTCCTTTATTGAAACTGTCACTAAAAACATATAAGTACTAAATTATGTGCATATATTTATTTCTACTTGGATATTTTCAATTTTTTATTTATTTAGGTAGGTAACTTTTGTACGGCTATACTGTAAGATGCGAAAGTGTTAGTAACAAAAAAAGAACGTCGCCGCCGAGAACAAAAGAGCAATTTGGTACTAAGTCGACACGCTATTTTAGATCTTAATGTTTTACCATTACATTGATTTTTAGTCTACTCACAATACTACTCGAAACGATTGTAATGCCGAAAGGTAGAAAGTCGATATACTATTTTGGACCTTAATGCTTTTTCATTACGTTGATTTATGATTTATGGTCTACTCACGGTACTTACTTTTCGGAAGGATTATGGTGAAATATGGCTTAAGATATTTATTTCGCTAAACAATATTACCATTCGCTTTTTGACAGAAAAAATATCTACTAGTTGCAGTATAAAAGTAAACGAACATGATGAGTTATTCTAAACTCGAAAACAAAAACATAAAAAATGTGCTCGCCCGGGAAACAGTTCCATTATGTATCGAACTTATTATATTTAAAATTAAACAAAATATTATAAAATAATAGATACATAAAATAGGCAATATGCATGTTAGTAAAATAAGTTTAATTTATTAGGAACTTAAGACACTTACCTCACTTAAATCTTCAGGTAATGATTCAGATTCCGAAAATTCATCATCGTCGACACTTTCCAAAATCCGAATGAATTCTGAGGCCTATGACGTCATCATCGTGTCGTCTATACTAGACTACGGCTAGGAGTAATAGTGTTCTGTGACGGCGCCCAGTGAACTGATTTTCGATGTCTCGCTAAGGATGCGCCAGAGTTGAGATATTAGATTTATTATGCGAAGATAATTTGATATTTTTTTTTAATTCATGTAGCTAATTATAGTTTTATATTTCTAACCTTTTGTTTTATTTAAATATCAATAATAATAGAAAAAAAATAACACGTTTGAGCTTAATTTTGAATAGTTTTCAATAAATTTATGCCTAACGCATTACAACACTAGCGGTCTAACATAGACGACTTTGGCGTGCTGGACATAGTATTTGCTTAGATAAAAATCCATTTTTTTTTAGTTCAATGTTTCTTACTACTTGTGGCTCTAGGAGACTTGTTTTATATACTCACATGTTACTGAGTTATTCTTTTTTTGAGGGGTGTAGAATTAAAATACCAGTAATAATTTTCCAATGTCTATATTTCATATTTTTGTGGGCCGGGTTTTTTGTCAACTATAGACGTCGTTGGCGCTCAGGGCACGCAGGTGCTGGTCACGTATAGACGACTTTGGCGCTCAAAAGGTTAACAAAACTGCTACAACAACTAGACAATTTAGTTTTAAATTAGCTACAATGATTTTTCCAGACTTTGATAGGCCATTAGCTTGATTAAATGAAACGTACCTAGTAAATTATTTTATCGATAACTGTAACGGTGAAATAAGTAGACGCTTAATTATTCCATTAACAAAACTGCTACAACAACTAGACAATTTAGTTTTAAATTAGCTACAATGATTTTTCCAGACTTCGATAGGCCATAAGCTTGATTAAATGAAACGTACCTAGTAAATTATTTTATCGATAACTGTAACGGTGAAATAAGTAGACGCTTAATTATTCCATTAACAAAACTGCTACAACAACTAGACAATTTAGTTTTAAATTAGCTACAATGATTTTTCCAGACTTCGATAGGCCATACGCTTGATTTAATAAAACTTACCTAGTAAATTATTTTATCGATAGAACCATAGAGGAAAGTAATATATCGTACAACAGAAACGGTGACATAAGTAGACGCTTAATAATTCCATCAACAATTTGGCACAACAACTAGTCAATTTAGTTCTAAATTAGGTAAATAATTTTGCTTCGATAGGCCATGAGCTTGATTAGATATAACGTAGTAAATTATTTTAACGATAGCTGTACATAAGTAGACGCTTAATAACTCCATCAGCAATTTTTTCGCCATTATCCTGTAATTGATTCATTTCTTAAATGAGTATTTAACACAAGAATGTCACTAAGAGGTACATTATTATGGAGGCTTAATTATTTTATATTATAAGGATTTTTACATAACTAATATTTAATGAATATAAAGACACCGGATGTATGTAACAAAATCAATGCGATATTTTTCGATGTACTGTAACTCGAAATCTCTCCATACGTTACGTGAAAGTTGTTTTTCTCGCATCACCGATTCGTGCTATTTGCTTCGTGGTAAGAACGATTACTTTAGCTCAATTGATATTTATATAGAAAAAGAAATATATTGCATTATTTTCAAATAGTTGAATTATCTCATTAATAAATCCACCTAGCTGAAGATATTATAGCCACTTCTTACTCATTATAATAGTTACTATTATTACTCCTTACTTACCGTATAATGGCGGTGTAAGAATATCCACTGCCCCATATCATCCCGTAGGTGTCGTAAGAGGAGACAGAGGGAATCAAATCAGGAGATGAGCAGCAGTTTTCCTAACAACGACAAAAAATGAAAATGCAGTAGCCAACCCGCTTGCCAAACGTGGCAACTATGGCAAATACCCTCCTATGAAGCAATCTATAGGGGAGGAGTATGTTCAGTAGTGGACTTTTAAAGGCTGTAACAGTAACTACTATTTACAAATGCTTACGAGAGCACGCTTTTCATAAGAGTTAGACACCAAACCTTGATCCCGCGAAGCGATATTTTCCTACTGCATGCTTCCTTTTGTTTCATCCAAGGTAATGAAATTAATTAAGCTAATACGAGTTGAGTGTTAGATTCCCAGACTACCCTTGTCTGTTATTGACAAACAGTATATTTTTGTTTATCTTAATCTTAGCAGTAGTTTTTTAAATATACGATAAGGTTAACAAACGAGCACACGATCCCCCTGATGGTAAGTTGCTGCGGCCCATATCTATCCCAAATTACGAATCAAAATGCAGGTGCGTTGTCATCCGTGAGGACTAAGATGAAATGCTTCGTTTCCAGTAAAACGTGTTTTTGTTTCTCGACAATCACCATACGAAACAGCAGTGTTGAGATGCTATTTTACGATGGTATTCCATGAGAACGTGGTCCTTCCCCGGTCGAGCCGACCGATTCGTGCTAGAACTATATTCCTAATATAGTTGCAGCATGGTTTGTAGTTTTATAATTAAGCAAAAACCAATGTTTTAATTGCATATAAAAATGTATAAATTTTAAGGTCACAAATAGTATTATTTATTTTATGTATTCGTAATATAAAAATTTAGGATAAAATCTGCTGCACTGTATTTTTAAATTTATTTGTGCTGTATTTCAGCCAAAGAACAGTACAGGAAACGAAAGGATGGGACGTGTTCAGAGAATTTCCACCGAAGCAGGACAGTATATCTATGGAAACACAGCAATGGCTGGAGTTCACAGTGCGACTGCTCAAAGTGCTGGCGTACGCCGTTACATTCATTGTAGTACTAGGCTCTGGTGTTATCGCCAAAGGCACAGTACTTTTCATGACTTCCCAGTTAAAAAAAGAAAGGCGAATAGCTTATTGTAATAGAAATTTAGGTAAGTTGATTTTATTTCCTTGAACCGTGTTATCTCGGTTAAAGAGTTGTGTTACGTGATTTTAATAATTTCATTCCCATATCAAATCTATGACTAAATTTAAGCTAATGCTCGAATTTGAATGTTACATACACTGAAATAGTAATAATATTAGGATTTCTGTGGTTACATAGTATTTTCTGCACAGTTTATAGTTTTCTATACCTATTATTTTGTGAGCAAGCTTGTTATATATACGTTGGTATTCAGCACATCTTACAGCGATATAACGATCCCCATAACCAATATCGAGTTGAAGTCAAAATTTGAAATAAATCTACATTATACGTATGTATATGCCAATAGATCAATCAAGCATTATCTAATTATGTAGTATCTTGAAAAAAGCCTATGCACATGCAATGTATTTATTAATACGATGATGGTGATTTCAATTTAGATATTTTGTAGAATATTGGCCTCTAGTAATTGTGAATTTCACCAATAGATGCCGCAAAAGCGTTCCACATAAATTTCAAATAAACAATAACTCTGACCTGGAACTATTACATATTTGTAGGCCATACAAATACTAGTTTTTTTTTTAAATAAAGTTATGGTGATAAATGAGCTCACCGTTAACCTGATGGCAAGTGGCTTCTGTATTTCAAGTACACCAATTTAAAACCAAAAGGATTCGAATGGTCTGAGGACTAAAATGGAATGCTTTAGCCTGTTATAATACCACCTCTCTGACTTAAAACACTGCAGTATGTGCACTGTTGCTTGTTGGCATAAATTTCTATAATAGTATGGTATACCGAATCTAGGGTTACCTATTGAATGGATATAAGAACTCAAAATCGGAATTATAGCGTAAGAACTTTACAGTGCCGACTGAAGACCGGATTTTTCCCCAAAAATTATGTTTTGAATAAAACTAAATTTACGGATTTTATCGCGTTTATTTCACTACTTTTACTTATTTTTAATTCCCGACGTTTCGGGTGCTTTACAGCAACCATGGTCACGGGGGGGACTGAGTGTAAAGCACCCGAAACGTCGGGAATTAAAAATAAGTAAAAGTAGTGAAATAAACGCGATAAAATCCGTAAATTTAGTTTTATTCAATGTGTAGTGTTCGCGTAAATTTAAGAAATCATTATAAAAATTATGTTTTTTTTTTATTTACCTGAAGATGGAACATAACGAAATTTACTATAGATTTATTATAGAATAAGGGTGACAAACGAGCACACAGTTCACCTGATGGTAAGTGGATGCTGTGACCCATAGCCTAAGATGGAATGCCTCGTAACCAGTAAAAAAGGATCTCCAGATCTCTACACTCACCATACAAAACTAAGCTATTTTACGCTGTATTCTGTGAGAGCGTGGTCCTTCCCCGGTTGAGCCGACCCGTTCATGCTACAACTATAACATAGCTGCAGCGTGGCTCTACCACATTTTAAATCTATTTATCCTATCCGAGTTTGATAACAATAATAGTAAAGTTTTATTATGTTCTACGATTACAGGTAGAGATAAGCAGTTTATAGTAAGTCTGCCAGATGAAGAACGTGTTGCGTGGATGTGGGCAGTTTTCGCTGCGTTTGCCATACCTGAAATTGGAACATTTATACGTTCTGTTAGAATTTGTTTCTTCAAGTCATCTAAGCGACCTACGCCTGTCCAGTTTGTTGTGGTACGTATAATAACTTATTTATTTTTTGTTTTTAAATAATATTTTGTTTTACGCTATGCTCGGGCCGCAACGCACATGCATAATTTATTTTTAAAATTATTTGCTTATTTTATACTAACTTGCCACTCCGTCGGTATGTCGGATACTTAGCGTTAATCGCCCCATGTGTGTAATATGACTGTTCCGGATTCATTCCATTCAATGCTTATTGCGATCTTTTCGCATAGCCATATATCATACAACCTGTTTAGCTTCTAAGGCCTAATCTAGATCTAAGGCCAATCTATCTCTACGGTATTTCGGAAGTAGGATATAGCTCCGTGAACCCCGCAAATCCTCCTTTTGTATACGCCTTTGCTTTTACACCGGATATAGAAACACCAGCTATGAGAAGTAGCGTCATAGGTGCGACATGACTGTTATAGCAGCTATATAGCGTGAGGTGCTGTAAATATTTTTTTTCTAATACTATTCTATATAAATAATACGCCTACAACACTGGCCAGCGGTTTGATAAGTGCAGAGCAGATAACTCATGCTGGTAATACTGTTCTTTATCAACCGACTGTGATATTTGCGGTTAGTATTTTTGGACGGATTTTCCGCCATTAGTCAGATGACTCGTCCGCTTACTGGCACGGTGCGCTACGTAAGATCCAAAATTGCATTTGAAGAAAAGGGTGTTTTCGTTTATACCCTTAAAATGCCTCATAATCTTTTATTAAACCATCCGTTTATCAATCAGTTGTAAAATATTTTTGAATTACAAGTGAATGGTTAGCGGTTTAGCTAGAAGCGATATTAAAATATTGCTTAGAAATTGAAAGTCATCTCTACCGATGCTATATAAAATGTAGCCGTCGCTCACCATAACGACAAAACACAAACTTGACTCATAGGACATTGAAATGTTCATCTTTATACCATGTCACGTAAACACGAAATATTTTAAATATCATCTATTATTTTATATCGATATCTGTGGTAACGTTAGATAATGGTTTTAGATTACTTTTATATGTTTTATAATGAAATTATTTATTGTACTACACTTGTGTTTCCCTTAAAAAGTAAATAAATATAATTTGTTTTAAAATTTAATGAGGCAGTGAGTGAAACGTGGAAGTCTCATTTAAATAAGTTACCTGCATGGGACACGATATAGAAGTATACAAACCAATGCCTACAAAACAAGGGTTTTGTAGTATATTTCTTAATAGATTAGGGGTTAAATCGTTAAAATGTGTATGTGATAGATATTATTTTAATGAAACTTAATATTTAATTTTCAGGTGTTTCTCGCGGAATCATTACAAACAATAGGATTGGGCGTATTATTCTTTATAATTCTGCCGGAATTAGACGTCGTTAAAGGAGCTATGCTTACGAATTGCCTTTGTGTAATACCGGCGATCCTAGGCTTGCTCTCACGAAACTCCAGGGACTCGAAGCGATTTATGAAAGTGATAGTTGATATGGCAGCAATTGTAGCACAAGTGACTGGGTTTATCGTATGGCCGATTTCAGAGAATAAGCCAGTGCTATGGCTAATACCGATTTCTTCTTTATGTATATCGCTGGGATGGTGGGAGAACTACGTAACAAGGCAAAGTCCTATAGGTAAGGAATGATAGAGTTGTTTTCCTGGCTGCTTTTAAGCACAGTGACAATTTCAGAATATTTATGAAAGGTATCAACTTCGCAGATGTATTCAAAGGTAGTTAAAATACCGAATAGCATAAAATATTTATTGTTTAAATTTGATTAAAAATAACTCCACTGGTTCGAAAATAAAATTTCCGTACTGGGAAAAGTCAGCAAGAAGCCTAACGGTTTATATTTTAAACAGCGGCTTCAGAGGTAGTGTTTAAATAATAATAACACGACAACAGGACTCGAAAGTTTTGAATGTTGTGTGTTTATACCAATGTTTATCATGGCTGGGATTCAAATGTTGACGTGATGTGACGCGATAATTAGGTATTGATTCGATATTTTTCAAAAATTTTGCATATAAATCAAAGATGGAACCGGCCGTGGTAGCTCAAGGGCACACGAGGAATTCGGGTACGGGTAATTCGGGTTAATTGCAATTCTAAGTGCGAATTTACTATGTGTTTTGCGATGAAAGAGTGCATCGTAAGAAAACCTGCATGTCTGAGAAATTACTTTTTAAATTTAAAATGAGATATAAAGTTAATTTGATTTCTTTTACTTTAGGCATAATTAAAAGTTTGGCCAGATTGAAAGAAGAATTAAATGCCTCTCGTTACTACACGTACCGGTTCATGTCTATATGGAAGATATTATTGTTTCTCGTCTGTATCCTCTTCTGCATATGGATGGACGGAGATGAACCCGCTATGTTTTTCCAATTATTTAACGCAGGATTCGGACCACATAATATTGTCGTTGAAGAGGTTAGTATTAAACCACTATATAGAAGATTTTTATAACAGAGAAGTGAAATGTAAATTTTTTTTAAATTACAATTTTATTACATTTCAGATACAAATCCAACTAGGCGGAACTGTAATACCCGATTTGGTAAATGCAACACTTACGGGAGATTCGGTTGAAGTTGCAGCGGTGTACAAGTCCGCTTTTTTATGTCATGTTAATTCAGATATTCGCCGCATATTTCTGCTACATATTTGGAAAGTTTGCTTGCAAAATCCTTATTCAAGGATTCAGTTACGCGTTTCCTATAAATCTAGTCATACCACTTGTGGTGAATTTCTTGATTGCTGCTTGTGGATTGAGAAACTGCGATAATTGCTTTTTCCATGGTACTGTGCCAGACTATCTGTTCTTTGAGTCTCCACCAGGTTAGTATAAAATTAAATCTTCAATTTATCACGATAATCTTTTTCCTTCATCTATATATATATCCAGTATCTTTTTTATAAAATTTATGTGACAAACTGATTTCACCTAAGGATAAATAACAACTGCAGCCCATGGATATCAGTTACAGATGCTTTCTCACCCCTAATATGGAAGGCCTCATAGCTTGAAATTGTACTGGTTCCCCATATCCTTAAGAACAGAAAACAGCAGTGTAGATACAAAAAAGTATACCAGTACTGGTGTCTGGTGCAGAAATAATTAAGAGGGTGGGTTAGGAGGTTAGGACCTACCCAGTTGGATTCCGGGTTAGAAAAGGAGTCCTATACTACCTAGAAAAACAATGGACAAGCTAACTCGTCTCCTGACCTTATATTGTCATATTATAATTACATTATTCATAATATTTACAGTGTTCTCATTAAGTGATTTTATATCGAGACAAATGGCATGGGTATGGCTACTGTGGTTACTATCTCAAACATGGATCACGATACATATTTGGACGCCAAAGGCTGAACGTTTAGCGTCTACTGAAAAACTTTTTGTTCTTCCTATGTACAACGGCCTTCTGATTGACCAAAGTATGGCACTTAATCGAAAGAGGGACGATCATAAGGATGTCAAAACTGAGGTTGGTATTTTTGATCCTGTAAGGATAAATTTATAATATATGAAATTATTTAAACGGTAATCTAATATAGTAAACACGTCAACGCGGTATTACGGATATTTTAACTATACATGAATTGCAAAGAGTCTGCCAATATTTTGTTAAGACATGTATATCCAAGAATACTTTATTTTATAATTTACCATTTTTAACTTCCCGCTTTAAAAATTAAATAAAAACCTTTTAGGAGCTATTAAATAAGATTTAGTAATCAGTAAGTGCACCGCAACCGATGCAGATGAGTTATTAATGTCATAATAACGCATGTGCATCAGATGGGCATACTCAAAGTTGTTAAGAATTACTTCGCCCATATCCGCTCAATGAAATAAAATTTTATGTCTTACCTAGTTTGAAGAGCACCAATACCATTCCACCCTCCTCCTTCAATTGCGTGCACTATTCCAGTCACCACTAATCCCAGCACCACTGCTCCCAACACCACTACACTAGGAAAGACACACCACCGAGTGACACACCATCAAGTTAATATAATTAATTGCTAATTCTGCATAGCGGTCAATTGATTCTAGCACTATTGAACTTTGCAAACAATTTCAACCGTAAGATAGTGTCCTGTATCCAAACAAGCTCTTTTCTTTCACCAAAACGAATTCGTGCCCACGCCATAATTGTACTACCTTGGTACAATTGAACTTCTTGAGGTTGTTGAAGCCGGCTTGTACGACCAGGTACTCTCCAAACACGTACTCTCCTCGATCTTTTCTCCTGTTAAATGTCGACGTTGCATTGCAATAAAAGTCAAGTCGAATCAAAAGGATGTTTAAATAGCAGTTTTCAAAGAAAAAATTAACAATTACTCTGAGTACAAAATTCGCTCCCTCTAGTTCAAGTCGATTTTTATCGCCAACAAATTTCCTTTTTAATTTTGTTTAAATTTAGAATCAACCCAGCACTTTTTAGTTGGTCAATATTAATAAAAATATCTCTATGCTGCATTGATATGTTTAATTTGGTACTCAAATATTCTTTATTTTATAGGACCTCGCAGAAATAGAAAAGGAAAAAGGTGATGAATACTATGAAACTATATCAGTTCATACTGACAATACTGGATCTTCTCCTAGGAATATAAAGTCATCTGATCAAATAACTAGGATTTATGCTTGCGCTACTATGTGGCATAAAACGAAAGACGAAATGATAGAATTCTTAAAGTCTATTCTTCGATTAGACGAGGACCAGTGCGCTAGACGAGTTGCTCAAAAATATTTACGGGTCGTTGATCCGGATTACTATGAATTCGAAAGTAAGTGGTGATATAATATTATTAACAAATTAATTTCATTCAATATACTTAATGTATTTGATGGATATACGTAAATTGAAAAATCTAACATTGCAGCTCATATTTTCTTGGACGACGCCTTCGAAATATCTGATCATAGTGATGACGATTCACAAGTAAATCGATTCGTCAAACTTTTAGTCGATACTATCGACGAAGCTGCTTCAAATGTTCATCAAACAAATATTCGTATTCGTCCACCTAAGAAATACCCTGCACCTTATGGAGGACGATTGACATGGGTACTTCCGGGTATTTGCCACCTTAAAGACAAAGCTAAGATTCGTCACCGAAAACGATGGTCTCAGGTAGCATACAGAAATAATGATTTAAATATAAAATAAATTCAAGACAACATGTAACAAGACAAGACACGTAAAATTTGATATTTTTTATGCTTTACAGGTGATGTACATGTACTATCTCTTGGGGCATCGTCTTATTGAACTTCCGATATCCGTAGACCGAAAGGAAGTAATGGCCGAAAACACATTTTTGCTTACACTTGATGGAGATATTGATTTCCAGCCACACGTAGTACGTTTACTGATCGACTTGATGAAAAAGAACAAAAATCTAGGAGCTGCATGTGGTCGCATTCATCCCATTGGATCTGGTAAGAAAAGTTTTTTTGTGATTTCAAAATTATACTCATAAAAATTATTTATCGTCAAGTTTTACTACCCAAATAGCCTGCTACTAATGATTAAGCTTCTATATCCGAAAATATAGGGATCACCGTCAAAATCACATTACATAACTTTATAATAATTACTAAGTCCTCGCCTCGCCAATTCACGACTAGCCTCTCCTATGGTGAAATTTGAAGTTGGAGGTCGATCGCTCTACTAAAAATCTCGCACTTTGACGGTGCTTCCCGAAACCGTTCTGGTAATTTTACATCGGGCATACCAATATATACACGTTTTTTTTTTAATTATTTATTCTTGTACATAACGACATTTTCCTGCAATTCCATTAGTAAACTTATGAAACCTTCGGGTTCAGATAGGGCGATAGTTCTTTTACGCCACCACCACGTGGAGATATTTATAATAAATGGCATATTATATATTTAATGTCGTAAAAGCCGTGTTAGTTCACGGGCTAAGCATTGGTTATAAATTTCATATTAAGTGAGATACGCTGGTTCGACCGCGACGGCGCTATTGAAATTATTGATTGAAATTTTAAATGCTCTTTTACCACGTGCTCTACGGCAAAAATCACGTCGTTAGGAAACCTGCATTTCTAACGAGTAGAAATATAAGAAAGGCATGTGAAGTCCGCTTACAGACTGCACTTGGTCAGCCACAAACACTTCCTTGCCCTAAAAGTCTCTTAGAAACGAGATGGCGCCTGAACCCGACAGTGGTACGTTTATAGTCTGTAACTTTAATTTTTGAGTTTAATGTATCTTATTATCTTTATAAATTAAATTTTGTAATGAATACCTACTAATAATTTTTATTTAATATTTTTAAAATACTATAATTTACAACTAATTTAAATTATAGGTCCTATGGTGTGGTACCAATTGTTTGAATACGCTATTGGTCATTGGCTGCAAAAGGCAACGGAACACATGATTGGTTGTGTACTCTGTAGTCCGGGATGTTTCTCACTCTTCCGTGGAAAGGCTCTGATGGACGATAACGTTATGAAAAAATACACTTTGCGATCAGATGAAGCTCGGCACTACGTACAATACGATCAAGGTAACTAAGATATATACTTTACGTTACTTTTTGATTAATATAATTAACATTAACATTTGTACATGGTAGAGCCATGCTGTAGTTATATTAGAAGTATAGTTGTAGCAAGAATATTTCGGCTTGACCAGGGAAGGACCACGCTCTCACAGAATACCAGCGTAAAATAGTAGCTTAATGCTGCTGTGTTTCGTACGGTGAATGTAGAGAACCGGAGACCATTTTTACTGGAAACGAGGCATTCCATCTTAGTTCTCACGGGTGACAACGCATCTGCATTTTGATTCGTAATCGAGGATAGATGTAGATGTCTTTGGGCCACAGCAACCACTTACCATCAGGTGGACTAAGTGTTCGTTTGTCTATCCTATAAAAAAAAAACATTAATGTTCAATGTTTGCTGAACATAGGTCTCCCTCATTCAACAAGTACTTTGTTAGTTGTAGTCCTGAGCCATGACGATATACCAGGAACTTTATTTGATTGCAAAATTACATATAAATAACATTCCTTTTCAAATATTACATGCTGGTGACCGACTGATTTTTATGCATAGAATCTATTCGATAGTATTCAGAGAAGAAATTGAGTAACATTTTTCCGTTTACAGGCGAAGATCGATGGTTATGCACACTCCTTTTACAACGGGGCTACCGCGTGGAATATTCAGCTGCTTCAGACGCGTATACTCACTGTCCTGAAGGATTCAGCGAGTTTTATAACCAGCGCCGTCGTTGGGTGCCGTCGACTATTGCCAATAAAAAAGTGGGAATTGATCCACTGTACTCCGCATTTGGGATATACTGGATCTACTTGTGAGCCACTGAACCAATGCATGAAATTATTATGCTTTTTAAATGGGGTAACAATGGACTGATCCAATGTGTTAAATGAAATATTTCCTAATCTAATTAATAGTTTTAATCAACATTATTATACAATCATTTAATAAACTTATCACTCTGGTAATTATTGTCTTAGAACCACAATATTACTTACTATATCAAAAACCTTATTTGAAATATTGTGCTCAAATAAAATAAAAATAAAATAAAATAGTCTTGTAAAAAAATCTCCAACCATGTACTATATACTTTTGAGGTAATAATATATCCACTTATATAAATCAGCCTGATAAATTTACAAAATTTAAACTTATAGTATTATAATTTGTAATAGTCAACTCAAATAAACAAAATAATTATTGATCTTATATTCAGGAAAAGCATTTTCTTGTTACATGCATTATTATTTTAAATTTTGTCAGTAATTGAATGAGTGATTTTTACTTTTCATTTTACAAGCAGTCACCAGTCACTATTTATAGGCCATAACTCCTAATAAACATCTAAATAAATAAAAATAAAAATCTATTGCTCCCTTGTATTCTGTACATTATGGAATCTTAGAATAAAGGACCCTATTTATGTACTTTTAAACTTATACCCTCCCTGAATATCATACACTAAGTGAATAGGCTTAATTTTTTATAAATTATATTATAAATAAAATTTTATATTCAAACATTTTTTATAGATTAAATTATATATTATCTGTTTCATAATATAGTAATTTATATGTAAGTGATTATTTATAATCTTTTGAGAAAACTAATCTCTGTAACCATAAATAACCAAAAAAATTATAACAATAAAAAACTAAAAAAGAAAAAGAGATTGATAAATTAAGAGTAAAATAAATTTTAAATCTAAGGGTACTGAACCTTTTTTTAATAGCATTGGGTGACAACTCCTTCATCAAGACCACATTCAGATAAAGAATTATTCCTTATCCTTAATTTGGCTAGGTGTACCGATACAAGAATGACTGAAGAGAAGACGGTAAAAGGTTGATGTAGTAAATTTGTTGGCTTCACGATAATGGAAAAACCAAGGTTTGTATGGGATTACGTCTTGAACCCGAGCATAGTGTTTACATTTTATGTTTTTAGTTTGGTCCCAGAGACCTTGCCAAGATGCCATAAAGTCAAATCTTGCTAGTGGAAGAAAGTCATGGTGGAAAATTTGGTACTAAAAGAGGGTACCTGTTTATGTCACTTTCTTAGCCAAGAAATTAGCACACTCATTGCCATGTATCCCGGAATGGGCTGGAATCCAGGCTAAAACAACTTTTAGGCCTTTTTGTGACCATTGTATAGTGCTTTTTTAATAAAGAGGGTGGGGAAAGGATTTGATTTAGAGTGGAAAGAACTGGAGATAATAGTTTGTAGACAGCTAAGAGAGTCAGAGAATTAGGGTATTTTCCAGGTTGTGAGAGTCGGCACATAGGATTGTTTTTAAAATGGCAATAGGTTTTCCTGTGAAAACTGATGATTCAGGTGGGTCCTAAAAATTTAAAATTAGTCTATTTGGGGACTGCAAAACCTATACAATCCATAATGATCCAGTCTTGCCAATTTTCTGAGATGATTTTCTTTAATTTACTGTTTGGATATCAATAGTTTTCTTGTCAAGTCCAAGGTCTAGGGTGAGATTTAGATTAAAAACTAGCACTTCGTAGGGAGTGGAGAAGAGTAAGTTAATGATATTTTGGAAGATTGGAGATTAAATATTTACAAACTTGATAGAGCTTTTTAAAAGGCATGGTATATCTTTATGTTGCCAGTATGGCGAAATTGAAATTTGCTGATGAAGTGGGTGTAGTATATGGAAGAGCGGATATTTATGAAGAAAACACTTTTTGAACCAGAATTTGTCTGATAGGTACTGCCTGCGAAGAAAGAGAGGACCCTCACCACACTCAACCTGGATCACCTCATCACCTCATCCTGTTATAATATGAAGACATTTTACTCAATTTTGATCCAAAGTTTTAATTACACTCTTATTGCATGGTTCCCACAAAAAGGAACCATAGTGGGAATGGCTTCTTATCAAAGCATTATACAAGATGTTTCGGGAGTAACGATGAGAGCCCCACCAAGCTCCTGAAATAGCGCGAATGACATTAAGATTTTTTTCGCATTTGGAAGCTATGTAGGATAAGTGGGGAACTCCAGACAATTTATTATCAAGCATAACACCGAGGATTTTCACATAGCTCACATTGGGAATCAATGAGTCTCCAGTAGAGATTGACACTTCTGGGATGAGTCTTCGTCTTGAAAATACCACGATTTTGCTTTTTGGGAAGGAGATGAATAAACCATGTTCTGTGATCCATTCTTGCAGGTAATTTACCGCACGAGATAATCGAGAAGTAGCGTCAGGTAAAGAATGGACAGTAACAAAGAGAGCCAAATCATCAGCATATTGGAGTATGTTGAACAGACAGTTTACCGATCAATCTAGATCGTTGGTATATAGGTTATACAGAAGGGGACTTAGAACAAAGCCTTGAGGAAGACCTTTCCAAATGTATCTCTCTGTCATTACATTACCCTCTATACGCACTAGGGCACGTCTTCCTGAAAAAAGGTTTGACACAAAGTTCGTTATCCTCATGGGAATGCTCAGCTGATGCATCTTATGCCTGAGCAGCGGATGTATAACATTATCATAAGCTGCGCAAATATCTAAGAAAACGCCTACAAGAAAGTTGTTTTGAGAGAGTGCAAGTTTGACATTGGAAATCTAAAGGCTGAGGCTGTCAAAGGTACCCAAACTCTTTCTAAATCCAAATTGACATTTAGGCAAGATGCCTCTATTTTCTAATAGCCACTCCAGGCGGTTTATGACGAGGTGCTCCATTATCTTTGATAGAGTGGATGAAATGGCTATTGAACAGTAGCTAGCGGCTATAGGGGGGTCTTTTCCGGTTTTAAGAATGGGAATTATGATATGGGTTTTCCAGTCGTCGGGAACTGCTCCAGTTGAATATGCACAATAATTATGTCTAGGAAATATTATTTGGATGTAGGGCACATGTGGCTTAAAAAAGAGTAAGGCATCCCATCAATACCTGGAGAGGAGCCCTTCAGATAGTTTAACACTAACTGAAGCTTTGTGAGGGAGAAGGTATCATTCATAGTATCATAAAAAAATGGGAAGGTGGGGAGGTCCCTGGGAATATCTCTTCAATAGAAGGGACTCATGGAGGAGACAAGCTGCTACAGAAACTATCTATCCAAAGTGAGGGGTCAGGGTTATTTATTTGGCTGTCGTTGTGATAACTACGAAATCGCTTTATGTTTTTCCACACAAGGGAGGCTGGAGAGCGCGGTGACAAACTCTCACAAAATAAAAACCATTTAATTTTTTTTCTCCGAGAATGCTTTTTTGGCTTGAGCAGCTATTTTTTCATAATTTGTAAAGTTTTCCAGGATCATATTCACAGATTACCGTTGTTCAGCATCTTTGCGTTTTTTTTTTACAATAGAAGAGCACCCTACCAAAGAGGTGAGGAAATTTTGTTATTAGGGCAATTTTTAAGGGGAATAGAATTTGGAGCAGATTCATTCAAAAGGGAGATATAATCACAGTAGGCATGCTGTAAGTTATTTTTTAAGGGGAATAGAATTTGGAGCAGATTCATTCAAAAGGGAGATATAATCACAGTAGGCATGCTGTAGGTTATTGTGAGACATTGGAGAGAGAGAATGAGCTTTAGTTTCTATATCACAAAAATATACATCCCAGTTGGCTTTGGACACGTTGAACTTGGAGATGAATGATTTCTTCCTGGTGGGAAGGCTTCTACTAGACAAAGATAAAATGATAGGGAAGTGATCACTTCCGAAGCTGGACGATAGGGTACTCCAATTGATACTTGCGGCTAAATTAGCAGAGCAGAGAGATAGATCTACAACAGAATTAGGACATTAGGAACGATAAGACCATGCGGGTGGGAGATTTGTTCAAAATGCAAAGATTAAGTTCGTTAAAGACATCTATTAATAGATAGGAAAAATAATCATTTTTATGAGAGACCCATAGTACGTTGTGACAATTGAAGACCCCAATTACAATAAAGGGAGGGAATATGCTAGACAGGATTAAGTTAAGCTCTGGGATACAGGCAGGAGTAGGATAGGAAATAAATATTGACACACTTGTAACGTCCATTAATTTGACAGCTGTTGCATTAATATTCTCTTGCGGAGGGGGAAAGGGAATTAAGCGAGAGAAAAGATTTCTGTTTAGAAGAATCGTTGTGCCGTCGTAGCCATCGCTGCGGTCGTCACGGATGCAGGAAAAACCAGGGATTCTGAATCTACAACCAGGTTTTAGCCAGGTTTCTATATATTATATGAATATTTATCAAATTAATTAGTTCGGATTTCGACGATAATTCCACTGAAGGATATGGAGGCGATTGAATTTTATAGATTTTTTGGAAGAGCACATCAAGTTTATTTCTCACGTTAAAGGGTAGGTGTATGTCGTCAAATTTGTCAATTATATCAGAGATGGAGGACACAAGGTTTTCCAGAAGATTATGATTAGGGAATAAATTAGCTTGAAGAGCATGACCATTTGGAGGGGAAGAGGTAGGGGTTCTTACAATATTGTTGTGTGCTACTTGGAACAGGTCTAGTTGGGTTATTTCTGAAAACAGTATTTCTATAAGATTGGGAAGCAAGAGGAGCAGGGTGAATACTTGATAACTGTTAAGATGAAGTGGAGAGGGAAGGTGTCCCTGAGGATGCAGCTACGTCGGCGTAAGGTCTTCTACCTGCAGGGAAGTGAGCACATGCTTCTAGGTATGAAAAATTTTCTTGGGACATTACCAGTTTAATGTCTCTTTGTCTTGAATGTTCAGGGCGACTTTTATCAGTTGCCAAGTGATTAGCAGAACAGAACAGGCATGTTAGGATATCTATAATACAATTATCTCCAATACGCTCTTTTGAGCATTTG